GCTCTACCCACATCTTTTAGTGGCATTTCGGCATTATATCTCATCTTCGGGGGTATTTCGCAAATTTTCCCTGCAGTTTTATAAAAAAAGAGGAGATAGTCTCACCATCGTCTCACCACTCGCCATGCCATCCGTCAAGATTTTGAATGCATCTGGAACAAAATGATATCCAGATGCATTCAAAACGTTGCCGGATGGGGGGTGGTCTGGTCCTAACTCTATCGTGTTCATTTCATCAGAGCAGGACTCGAACTCATGCTCTGTTTCAATAATAACAGTTACAGAACAATGCACTTGGCCAGCTTGGTCATCGAGGTGCAGACCATGCTCTTGGCCGAACATCTGCACATCCAGCTCTCTTGGCCGAACGGTTAATACGATAGACTTAGTATTAACGGTTCGGCCACCTGGCCTGGGTACCGTGCTTTTTTTTTTTTTTTTTTTTTCAATTTAAATTTATGTTCAAAAAAAAAAAAGAAGAACCAGGATCAGAATGCACTTGGCCATGTTGGTCGTCGAGGTGCAGACCATGCTCTTCCGCATCTGCACATCCGGCCACATTCATTTTGACCGGCGTTCTACCTAACCTCTTCACTCGCAACAGAACGCAAGGTCATTCTCGCTGTATTTATTTATTTATTTATTTTATCTATTTATTTTATTTTATTTTATTTTATTTTATTTTATTTATGTATTTACTATTTATTTATTTTTCAAAAGGGCAACGGCCTTGAGAAATCATCATTGGTGAGGTGAAATTGAGAGAAAGGGGGGCGCCGGGTTCACGGCGCAAAATAGCGCTCGGTCCCGCCGCCACCGGCTTCAGCCGGTCTAGCCGCCAGCAAGCAGCTGACGTAGTTGCTATGCCGGTTAGAAAGACACCCGAAGTCTCAGCCACCCGAAGTCTCAGCCATGTCTGTCCTTCGTGGTGCTTGTAGGCTAGCCTGAGGTCTCCAACAGCTCTGATTCTCCAGTCTAGTCATCAGCTACTGGACTACACCTCATCGTCTCACAAGTTGCCATCAGCAGCAATTCGCTTGGAGGAAACTCTGGAGATCGCTCAACCCTATTTCAAGGAAGGAATTAACCAGCATCCATGGATATTGACGAGCCAGGGGCCCCCGACGGGCAGCCGAAGGAAGCTCAAGCACAGCCACATGTTGGAGACGTAGGGATGGTGGGAGCAGACAAGGATGGGGCAACACCGGGACTATCGAGACCGCAGATGGGGCTCCGCCTCTATCACATACCAACTACTGGCCGGAAGAAGAGCGGATTCGTGAAATGCTAGCCCGATGTTTCGATGCAGGCATTCTCCCGACAGGATGGGATATAGGGGAAATGAGGGAGGAAGGAACCAAGGCTCGATTCGTTTTGAATCGGTCTTTGGACGAAATCAAGGTCAACTGGCTGAAGGAGCGAACCGTCACGGTAATTTTTTTAGAAGGGTCCAAGAATCTGCCGAAGAAGATAAAGGAGGACGTCATCCGAGCGTTTGAAGATATTTGGTTGGCGGACCAGGCTTCAACCCATCCATCACAAGAGGAAGGGTCTGCATCGAATCAAGCAATGTCCTATCCTACGTGGCCAAGGACAAGCAGGTAGCGGAATGGATGATAGAGGAAAAGGCGGTTA